CATAATGTAGTGCTTAATTAGTTTAGCATAGGGACAACTTTATCTGTTTCTTTACCTTCATGAAGATGTTATTCAAGATAAAAGTGTGACTTCTTAGGCTATTTATGAGGTCACCACATTCTTTCTTCATGTATGTGTGCATGTGTGCAAATGTATGTCTTTCAACTTTTTGAACCAAACAATTTTCACAAAACCTGTTATGAACATTACGTCATTAGAGGCCTGGCTAACCTCATGTTTTTTTTTGCATCTAATACAATCGATTTTGATGATGATGATGATGATGATGATATGGTGGAAGACACATATACACGCAAGGTGGCCACAAAATGTGCAGCACTTAACACACAGTCCTCATATGATGTATAATGAATGGATCTTTAAAATATATATATACATAAACTTCCGTTAAAGCAATTCATCTGCAGGATGTAAAACAACAACATGGTGGTCAGTGATGTTAGGCAGACAGAAATTGATACAGCTGAGCCGTTAATACCTGATCCTTGCCCTTTTGAGGTTGAAAGTGCTATTGCAAAATTGAAACGGTATAAATCACCAGGTAGTGATCAAATTCCGGCAGAAGTTATTCAAGCAGGAGGCAAAATATTACGTTCTAAGATCCACAATCTAATTACTTCTATTTGGCATAAGGAAAAATTTCATGATCACTGGAAGGAGTCTATTATTGTACCAGTTCACAAGAAGGGTGATAAAACTGACTGTAGTAATTATCGGGGGATATCACTGCTATCAACTTCATATAAAATTTTGTCCAATATCCTTCTTTCAAGGTTAAGTCCATATGTAGATGAAATTATTGGGGATCATCACTGTGGGTTTCAACATAACAGATCAACTACAGGTCAGATCTTTTGCATTCATCAGATATTGGAGAAAAAATGGGACTACTATGAGACAGTACATTAGCTATTCATACACTTCAAGAAAGCCTATTATTCAGTTAGGAGGGAAGCACTGTACAATATTCTGATAGAGTTTGGGATACCCATGAAACTAGTTAGGTTGATTAAAATGTGTTTAAACAAAAAGTATAGTAAAGTCCGTGTAGGTAAATTTCCTATCCAGAATGGTCTAAAACAAGGAGATGCTTTATCGCCACTCCTTTTCAACTTTGCCTTAGAATATGCAATTAGGAAGGTCCAGGGAAACCAGGTGGGACTGAAATTAAACGGGACACATCAGCTGTTGGTCTATGCCGATGATGTGAATCTACTGGGTGATAATGTAGATACCATAAAGAAAAACACACAAACTTTAATTGACGCAAGTAAAGAGGTTGGTCTAGAAGTAAACACAGAGAAAACTAAGTATATGTTACTGTCTCGTCACCAAAATGCAGGGCAAAATCATGACATAAAGATAGGAAACAGATGTTTTGAAAATGTGGCACAGTTCAGATATTTGGGAACAACGATAACAGATCGAAACCTGATTCAGGAGGAAATTAAGAGGCGATTGAACTCGGGTAATGCTTGCTACCATTCAGTCCAGAACCTTTTGTCTTCTCGTCTGTTGTCCAAAAACATAAAAATTAGAATATACAAAACTATAATTTTGCCTGTGGTTCTGTATGGGTGTGAAACTTGGTCTCTGACATTAAGGGAGGAACATAGACTGAGGGTGTTTGAGAACAGGGTGTTGAGGAGAATATTTGGACCGAAGAGAGATGAAGTGACAGGAGGTTGGAGAAAACTGCATAATGAGGAGCTTCATAACTTGTACTCTTCTCCAAGTATAATTAGAATGATCAAGTCAAGGAGGATGAGGTGGGCAGGTCATGTAGCACGAATGGGGGAGACGAGGAATGCGTATAGGATATTGGTGGGAAAGCCAGAAGGAAAGAGACCACAGGGAAGACCAAGGCGTAGGTGGGTGGACAATATTAGAATGGATCTTAGAGAGATAGGATGGGATGGTATGGATTGGATAGATCTGGCTCAGGATAGGGACCAGTGGAGGGCTCTTGTGAACACGGTAATGAACCTTCGGGTTCCATAAAATGCTGGGAAATTCTTGAGTAGCTGCAGAATTGGCGGCTCCTAAACAAGGGCTCAACAGTGAGTAAGTAAGTAAGTAAGTAAGTAAGTATTGTTTATCCATTTAATGATGATAAATACAATATGTTAAATGGTCAAGGAAACCTGGCAAACAATGCACAACAGAAAGAACATTTCTCCCAGAGTGCTGCTGTAACTGCCAAAAGCAGAATGAGTCATTAGCACTGATAAACGTTCGCTGTCAGGAGATCTGATTTTGTCACTGCAGTAAGTCGCATTAATAGCCACTCTCTGTTAGAGGTGTTGATAGGTGGTTGACATTTATACTGAAATAAAGTTCACTATTGAACAGCGTGCATTTACTGTCGAAACTTTTGCCAGGAATAAAGTTACAGAAAATGTATCTGTAAGTTTTGTCGTAAATATCCTGACTCACCAGTTCCTACAAAGACGAAACTTACAGATATACTTTCTGTAAGATTTTTCCTTGAAAAAGTTTCAACAATAAACACATGCTGCTCAATAGCAAATTTTATTTCAGTATAAATGTCGACTGTCTATCAACACCTCCAACAAAGACTGACTATTAATGAGACCTATTGCAGTGACGAGACCAGACCACCTGATGACACATGTTCATCAGTGCCAATGACTCATTCTATCAGCAGTTACAGCAGCAAATGCTGTGTCCACTGTGCATTGCTCCCAGGTTTCCTCGATGGTTGAATGCCCTGTACATTGAAAGACAATCAAATTGGTGAAATTTCAAATGTATGAGTGAAAGTATCTTTCTGCATTCACACTCACAGCACAAATTGGTCTCAATTGCTGTGTGAAGAGGTACCTTATGCACAAGCACTACTATTACTACCTGAGGAGAATAATAGGATCAAAGAGAGATAAAGTCACTGGAAGTTGGAGAAAATTGCATACTGAGCACTTTCATAACTTGTACTCTTCGGGAAGCATAAGTAGAATGATCAAATCAAGGAGAATGAGAGGGGCAGGGCATGTAGCATGAATGGGGGGGAAGAGAAATGAATATGTTACTGGTGAGAAAGCCAGAAGGAAAGAGACCACCAGGAAGACCAAGATGCAGAAGGGTGGACAATATTAAATGGATCTTAGAAAAAAGACAGGATGGCATGGACTGGATCAATCTAGCTCAGGACATGGACCAGTGGAGAACTCTTGTGAACATGATAATGAACTTTCAGGTTCCATAAAATGCTCGGAAGCTCTTGAGTAGCTGCACAATTGTCTGCTTCTCAAGAAGGGCTCAGCTCCATGAGTGAGTGACTACTACTACTACAGCTGTGGAGGACTGACGTCTCTTTAACTACAACTGCACCACCATCGCATTTCTTCCTCTATGTAATACATTCCTCTCCTAACTTTCAACCTCTATGGGGAAGAGAGAGAGAATAAATATAGCTACTGTGTGAATAGTGCTGTTTTACTTGCTCCCACATTTTGGTGCCAAAACCCGGGACAAGCGAGCCATTACATGACGTGAAAGTGTAAGAGTGTGTTGTTATTATTGTGAAGGTCATGGAGTGTATTTTCAAGTGAAGAAATGTGATGGTGGTGCAGTTGTAGTTAAGAGACGTCAGTCCTCCACAACAGCTGTCACTGCTCTCACACACATCTGGCAGAATCAGAAACTGCTGGATCTCAGCTTGCAAATTCTCTTCTCTGATTAGAAAAGTTCTCAATTGCAAGATCACTGGATCTAAGCTCAAAATTAACTAAGTATTACATACTAGGGACTGCTTGCTTACTTGTCTTATCTGAAATTTTATCAGACCACCCTATGCTTCTTTTGACAGTTGGTCTATAGCAAGTACATCCTGCCTCAGTAATCTTCACTTCGTTAGTAAAAAGAAAGTAAAGCTATCCCTGTAACAGGCCGTGAAGGCCCATAGGGTTGCGAGACGTTTAGGCTCCCACATTACCTTGACAATTGGCTCAAAGGTGGCGGTAAGGTTGTCAGCCTTACGCGCCGGCCATGCTTCACTCCCCAGGAAAATTATTTAATTAACTCCTGGTACTTATTTCTGTTAGAGGCTGAGTAAACCCTGGGGCCTAGTGCGGCCGGAAGGATTAGGCCACTTGAAAAAAATCCAATGACCTCATCAGGACTTGAACCCGCGACCTTCCAGCTTGTAGCATAGTACTTTAACCACTACGCTACCGCATACCCCTTCACTTTGTTAATATATCAATATTAATATCATGATTATAGAAGGTTATTGTTTTCTGGGAGGTAATTCTATGTAGTGTAACAGGCAGCTATCAATGTTTCAGAAAAACTTGCTGCCTATATCTTCAGGGTACTATTCTGAGGACATGTGCACCAGGTTTCTGAAAAATGTTAGTAACTGTCTACCAGCCTACAATGATAATAGATCCCACAAGACACTAACCTTCACTATCCTTACTGTGAGAACTTCAAACTTCCATTCAAAAGTATGTTGTATAGATGGAGAGAAACTAAGAAAAATGTTCCAATGGCAAGTCTTGCAACAATAACATGGACCATCATGTTTCATAATATTTAACAGCTTAGTCACAGGAATAGAGAAGAAATCCCATTTAATGTTCTGCAATAATAAGTTTTCCCTCATTCAACATTCAGTTACACTGATCCCAAGCCAATAATCTTTCTACTAAATTTCCTCCAAGATTTTGTAGTCTAGCGTTCAAACCCACTGCACATCACAGAAACCTTAAATTTGGGTTTCTTTGTGTTTTCCACTTATTCTGCAATGACCTTGAATCATGCAATACCTTAAAAGAGTTTTACTTTAAACATTCACTTGGGAAACATGGAATTTTAACATTAAAGAAAAGAAAATCTTAAATGTAAGAAAGTTTATTAGTCACATACATGATTCTTGGTTAAAAAAAAAGAAATTAAATGATGAAAACCTTAAACACTAGATGGTGATTCAACTGTTTCGATTATCCATCTCTTACCATTGTAGGATCTTTATCATGAACTTCCCATGCCGGTGTCCATGTAGCGCCACCTGGATACCCCGTGTGATGGAAGTAAACTCGTTGCCGCCATTCATCACCTGGCATAGCAATGTCCCTACTATTTATCACCACCACATGATCACCACAATCATCTAAAAAAGAAATTTTAAGAACTCCTAGTTACTGTGTTCAGGTTCATGGAACTTCTTCGCTGGAATGTCTGACAATTTGCATACAATACCATGAACTGAAACAGCAATATTTATTGTTCATTTCATGACAATGAAGTACTTTCATGGATGTACTGGCAAGTGAGAAGCAAGAGTGAAAAGATATGTGGCAGTACCCAGAAGAAACAGGTTTCATTGAAAGTTGATGGTCTTGTTAGATTCTTTTGCAAATCTGAATGAACAATCCAATTTCAGAAACAAGCACCTGCACTGCTAATGTGCTGAGTCATGTGTTACAAGTCAAAAAATGATCTAAGTTGTTTCAGCTGTAATATACACATGCATTCAAATATTTCACATTTGCACTATCCTTAAAAATATTTTAAAATATGTGTACCCATAATGTCTGGAAAAAGACACATCAGTGACAGGCCTGGAGATATACTGAAGGTGGAAACATACACAGCCTGCAGCTCCTCTAGACAGGATAATTCATTTTCTGAACCATCTTCCAAATAATATTCAATCAGTGATCAAGACCAAATTTCATTTTGTTTCATTATAAATTTACACTGCACTTTCCTTATCTTGAAAAAATACAAGACGTTCAAGAAAGAATTAACCAGCTACTTTCCTCTGATATGACTGTAACCATATGTCCCTCACTTAAAAGTGTTTAAAAGCGACTATAAAATTCCACTTATTGATTCTACCTGAATGAGACACAACCGTGGCAAGATAGGAGTTGTAATTCAACATAGTCCTCCTTAGGCTTATGGCGCCACCGTTTTCAGTAGCATTGTCAGTAGCCTTTAGATGTTATCTTCCATCAGTTATAGGGAGGTATTTTGGAAAATCAGTCCTTGCTTTTATTCTGAGTCTCCCAGGAGGTATGTCACCCTAATTGCGCTTGGTCCCTTACTAAATGTGTCTCTTGTAATGATAAAAGCTGAAATGAAGGTTTGAAGATAACATCTCTAACCCATTTTGGGGATCTAGCTGTAACCCTTTCCAAGTGATGGCCACTTAAGGGTTGTACCTGTATGTTAGAGTAGTTGAAATGTTGATGCGGAACTGAACAGTCAGTTATAGGAAGTCGAGATGTAAAGTTTGAGAGAAGTGATAGAAGAGGACCTAGGGAGTTACAGTTGGGAGATGTTTTACAGTGAGTATTAAATGAATAGGGAGAGTCAAGATATAAAGTTAGGGAGTCAGTGATAGAAATGAACAGGGAGACTGAGGGCAATACTAACAGCAGAAGATGTAATCAGTGTGATGATGCTTAAAAGAGGATTAGAATAACACACCAACTATGACTGTACTTCCCATCTAACTGAATGCAAAAAATACATGGAGTGGTGGTGTTCTGGTGATACAGGGTTTGATCATTCCTGAAATATGTTCCCCTCCCAGTCAATGATGCACTCATTTCCCTGAGAGAAAGACCTCATCTCGAGTTGTACTTAATGGCAAATCTTATCAACGCTGCTGGCATCTGTACATCGGCAGTTGGCTGCACGACACAGACCACATAGAAAATGACAGATCCAACACTTCTTCTGTTTCTGTTGTTGCATGTGTATTTGATGTTGTGGGAAAGTGTTTACTAAACCGCTACCTGGTAACCACGCTGTCGACTAGCAATGATAGGAGGGATACACATACAAGCACACAGGCACACAGGGAAGTAGGCTAACTACAGAGGATCTGTTGGAGACACAGTTTTCTCTGCCATCAAATGCAGCCATATAAACAGGATAACTCTCTGTTCAGGCCTGTGGTTAGCAGTCAGCTGCAGCAAGTAGACATCCATAAGTTGGAAGATCTAATTACTGAGCTATTTCTTAGCAAATGGCCATCTCTGCAGCACTTCTCTGACTGCACTATTCTGGCATTCAAGTGTCATATCACATATATGTTTACACGGTATTACAACAAAAGTCTCTTCTGGTTCCACTACTCCAGCTTTCATGAGTTACAGGGGATACACAGACACACAACTCAGCCAGGCCAGGAAGTAGGCTATAATGGATGTATACCACCTTGCCATCTGTCTCTCCCCACACATCACCCCTTAAGTCCTGCAAGCTAGAATACTGAAGCCAGAAGTTAAGGCTCTTATAAACACATGGGACATGCGACATGATGCCTGACAGCAAAAATAGTGCAGTCACAGAGGTGTCACAAAGACGGTCACTGATATGCAATGGCTCAGTAATTAGGGGTTCTAACTCTCAAGTTACTGTATGCTGTTACTGGCTGCTAACCACAGACCTGAGCCAAAGACAAAGTTACTTTCCAACTTTACAACTTTACCACCAATCAGGGTCTTGGTTCCAAGCCCCTTGAGACTCAAAACCAGAGATTTTTTTTATTAACATGAGGCATCCTCCTAGTGAATCACCCTGTACATTGCTGAACTATCAGATAAAGTATGCATCAAGAAGAAGCTATAGATCTTAATATTTATTTTTTATTTTATTACACTTGTGGTTAATTTTATGAAGCTGTCAGTAGCTCAGATTATACAGCCACACGATGGGATGATTAAAGAATAATAAATCATAAGGGATGCAGAATAAAGTGCCTGAGGCCTCATTTACAATACTATCTTGACACCTGACTGAGGGGGGGGGAACAAATAAAACCATAGAAACTTACGTCTGGACAGCCATTTTACATGCAGAGATTTGAACTCAGGATCTACCAAACATGAAGCACAAGTGCTAACCACTTCACAAAGTTTCACTCAGATCTTGATGAAATCTTAGTTCAGAAATGACACATGTCTCATCACATGACCTGAGACAAAATGAAACTAAATAATTATGTTGCCAATACACCTTGATAAGACTAGAATAAGCCCAAATCATATTTATCACCCAACTCTGTGTATGCTCACCATACCAAATTCCATTTAAATATGCACAGTATTGCCAAAGAAGAAACATGCAAATGTATGAGCAGGTATATCATTATGTTTTCACACACAGAAAATCCATCAGGAAAACCATAACTTGCATGTGAATAATTCAGTTGCATTTCTATATTTCACTTTCAATAATCATTTCAGATTAAAATTGAGATGTCAGACCACTGATCTGCATTCATACCATCCACCACTCACACCATCAATAATTATTGATGGTGTGAGTGGTGGAGTGTATTCTACAATAATAGAATACAAGATTAAATAACAGCTGACAGTCAATTCAGTCTGATTACTGTAATAAAACTAGCATCAAACAGCCAGTTACTTTCTACAAATTTCTTCTCAAATAGTTGTTTCACTATACTGCAAATAGATGGCAAATATCTGACATATATTCTATACACAAAGTTTTGAAAGTTACAAAATATCATAGCCAAGTCACTGGCACTCCTGCTTAATAATAAGGAAGTCAAGTGCCAGAACAGTACCACAAATTAGGCCCCAACTTCTTCTCCATCCTTCTTAATTCATTATCTGATAAGTAACCTGTAATTCAATTCTATACTCAGAATCTTTCTCAAAAGGCCGAATCACCTGACTTCTTACCATCAGCCTATTAGCAGGAACCTTAGCCATTACCTACAGAGAAAAGAGAGTATAGATTCTTGCCTAACAGGCCACACATTATAAACATGGATATGCATTTCTCAAAGTAATTAAAGTATTTGGGGAAACTCATCATCATAGTAAATGCTCAAAATGTCTCTCTTCTGCTCTTAAACTACAAGTATCTTGAAAAGACTGACACTAATTTGAGTTCACTGAACATGACAGAAGTATGTAAGATTTGAGGTTTTCACGGTGGTGACTATGAAGAAAGCAGTCTTCTGGGATTTGGCACTGTGTANTCGCTGGCTTCCCATTGTGGCGGCCGGGGTTCGACCCCAGGTCTGGTCAAATGGGATTTATGGTGGACAAAGTGGTGCTGGGGCAGGTTTTCTCTGAGTACTTCGGTTTCCCCTGCCTATCTTCATTCCACCAATTGCTCCACAATCACCCTCACCTATCATCTGGGGCTGGTACAATAGGCCAGAAGTGGCCACAGTACAAGGGACTTAGTCCCATCCCACTACCAGTAATAATAAGGTCATTCATGTGTGAGAGCTATGTAAGTTCACTTTGCTTCTCAGGCTTCCCCAAACACGAAATCACAAGGATTTAATTGTGGAGACTCTGAAGGCCTGAATCTGCAACTTATCAGTGTGTGCTGTTAGTAGTCTTGCATAAAATAACCTGTCCTCTTTTCTTTTACAATGCTCTCAAAAAAGGCCAAATAATGTCACTTATACATATTCTGAATTAACCACCTATTCAAAACACTTGAGTCCTATAATTTGTGAAGCACTATGACATACCACACTTCTGAACGTGCTATGAGCACTGATATACATTCAGATGGAACCAAACTTCATCAATAAATAAGAAGTTCTGGGAAGAACCAACCACCTCCTTTCCTTTGATATGACACAGACAATACAGAAAACTATGCATCCATCAATTCTTCTATTGTTGTAGGTGTATTCACTGCCATAGGAATGTGTTTGCCCAGCCACTGCCTGCCAAAGATAGGGAGGTTGCATACTGTAAACACAGAGAAAACTGCTAACAGCACAGGAACTGTTGGAGGCAGTGTTTTCTCTGTGGTTCGACCTTAAGTTATATAAAGAGGAAAACTCTGTGCCATTTGCAGTGTGCAGAAACCTGAGAGCTGGAAGACCTAATTACCAAGCTGCTGCCTAGCAATGGCCATCTCCACGACGCTTCTCTGACTGCATTATTCTGGTTTTCATGCTTCGCATCACGTAACACATCACATATGTATGTTTAGATGGTATTGCAACAGCCATCTCTTCTGGCACCTAACTTCCAGCAGTTAGGAGGGGAAATACAGAGATGGAGACAGAAGGGTTATCCCATAAGCCTCCACTTATTTTTAAAAAATAACAAAAGTAGGCTAAAAATGGAGATCTTGGGTCAAGAATCTGACATGTACTGTCTAAATTTACATGACAACACATATAACTTTTCACATTCTGTGCTGTTTCCAAAACCTGTTCCTGTTGAATTAATTGTGTTTGGGATTTGCAAGGCAAATGTTCTTATCTGGCTCAAATTTGATCAAGCTCTTAGTCAGTTAACATAGTAGCCTGTTCAGTGTATTTACTGTCTAAGACAGATCCAGTAATTCCAGATTCCCCAATTCAAAAAAATGCTGATGTAGCTAGAACTCAAACACTGGAATACCTGCAGCAAAATTTTCTTTTACACAATTCATAACACTGAATTTCTAAGTACCACACAGAAAACTCCATTGTTCAAGTGAGTATTTCACAATCTCAGTTCATTATTGCAAATGAGAACACAAAACAGATTTCTGAACATGTTATGAGGACAGAAATATGAAGAGAATTGATAAATATTACAGGAAGTCATTTGCAAGTGCAGACAGTCATCTCTGCCCATCCCTTTAGCACATAAGGCATGTTCACCTACAGCCCGCGTGTTCTTCTCACAGGCAGGGCAGCTTGATTTGGCTCTTCAAGAAAGAACTTGTGCTAGGCTACTGAATGGGTTGTTATGTAAACCAACATTAAGATTAGGTTCTGAATATTTGCATTTGCAATTTATTTAACAACAATATCAATATCTCAGATTATGTAGCATTATGCAGTAGGAAGATCAGTGAATAATGAATTGGAAAGGATTTCGAAGAAGGTAGTTCTGGCCTAACTGTGAGACACTACCCTAGCATCTGACTGGACTAAAGAAAACCGCAAATACCTTAGCCAGGGTAGTCAGTGTCCCAGCCAACGCCTGAACTGAGCACCTCCCAAATACAAGTTTGCATGCAATGTCACTACTATATTGATCTGCCAGCTAGCATAAAAGTGTAGTACTCAAAAAGTTCTGAGTTTGATGATGATAATACTGAAAACAGACACAATAAGAAATATGTGTTGCTATAATGACAACGAATGTCCTAAAGATGGAAGGAGAATGAACTGCAATCCTATTACCATAAAATTCAGAGTAATCTCTAAAAATCCATGCTAATGGCTGATTCATTATACTGTAATTATATTGAACATCATACATACATAGTGTGACATGATGCCTAAAAGTCAGAATAGAGGAGCCAGAATAAACAAGCAACAATCGAGGTATTGTTGAGCTATGATGATGTATCCCAGCCAAGCTGAGATAGAACTGAGGGAGTCTCTTGAGATGGCAGTCAAAGATGATTGAGTAGAGATGGCAACGAGTTCAGCTGAGACTTGAAAGTCAGCCTGTGAAGATAAGACTTAGCATGTTATTTGAAGACTTTATGTCTGCTGTAGTTAGTGTGAGACCATTATAAACCTGTTGCCAGGATGTGACTAGTGAAGACTGAGAAGGCTTACCATGTCCTAATGATTTGTAGTGTGGAAATTAGCAACAATATTATAATTACTGGCAGTTACAAGTTAAGTGCAATAAATACAAACAGCCAATTCAAAACACATTGTTTCAGAAGATGGATTTACCACCAAGCAAATAAGTTTAGTATTCCAAATGTTTCAGGTTTGATACATATCACTGCTAATGTTCTAAGAAATAAGTTATAACAAACAACATGTAACAATACAATCACAATCTCATATGAAAATGGGAAAAATGACACATCCTCGAGAGTTATGTATATCACATACACCTGAGACAATGAACAAATCTAACATAACTTTAGAACTAAGAGAAGCTTTCACCTGAATTCCTTCAGTAACGATAAATAATGCCCAATCCAACAGCACACCTCTCTCAAGCATACAAATAACACTACAAAATTCTGATGTTAATCAACTTTTCAAATAAAAAATACATCATAATTAGTCCTTCAAGACCCCCCACCCTCCTACCATAACTAACAATTTCGTGCTTACTTCCGACTTCATCCTTTGCAAGAAGACTTATCTTTACTACCCACAGGTGACAATGTATCTCATCAACATTATAAAGCACTTATCTTAAATTAAGTGTGGCAGATACGTTAAGTCAAAGTCAAAACAACAAAAATAACAAAAACACACAGTGGAAGAAACAAAGGATAAACTGCTGCCCTAATACCATATTTTTCCATCCAGTCACCGAATATGAAATGGAGTGTGTAACAAATAGTCTAAAAGGTAAATTATCTGCAGGATATGTCAAGATACCAGAATATCTTGTTAAAAAATGTATAAATTATGTAAAAAGACCACTGGCTCATATTTTCAATGCCTCATTGAGCTCAGGCACCTTCCCAGATAGTTTAAAATTAGCTAAAGTGATACCTCTGCATAAAAAAGGGGAATATCATGATATTAAAAACTACAGACCAATATCCATTTTATCAGTCTTTTCCAAAATATTAGAGAAACTGATGTATAATAGGCTAATGTCTTTTTTAATTCAAAGTAATATATTAACAGAGGGCCAAAATGGCTTCAGAAAGAATAAATCAACTCACACTGCAAGTCAGTCTTATTGAAAGTATACAGGGGGCCTTAGATAACAGCCTATATGCCACAGGATTATTTTTTGATTTATCAAAGGCATATGATGTAATAGACCATGATATACTATTAGAGAAACTAGAGTCATATAGCATAAGAGGCATGCCAAATATGTCTTACCTGTCAAACAGACTCCAATATGTAGAAATAAAAAACACTGATGGCAATGTCAAAACCAGTTATAATTCATCATGTAGGAAAGTGAAGTGTGGTGTACCACAAGGATCAGTGTTTGGGACACTTTTATTTTTACTATACATTAATGATCTTACAGAAAATGTTCAAGGAGCAAAGCTGGTTTTATACACAGATGATACCAATTTGTTAACTAGTGGAAAAGATGAACTCGACCTTCAGTATAAAATAATGAACGTTATGAAAGAATTAGAAATATGGTTTCAAAAAAATAACCTTATAATAAATACTAAAAAGACATCTGCCACATCATTTCATTCAAAATAGCAGAGAGATCCATTAAGACCACAAATAGAATTCACATGACAGAAACCCTAAAATGGTGCACTCATGCTCAACTTCTAAAAGCAAAGCTATGCAAAGTAATTTATATGGTGAAAATATTAAAAGAAATAATGAGTCCATATATGATAAAAATTATTTTTCGAATTTTGAGTCATGCATGAGAAATTGTATCTTATTGTGGGGTGGGGATGGGGAAAGTAAAAGCATTTTTAAATTGCAAAAGCAGGTTCTTCGAGCAATTAGTGGTATTAGTAGTCGCATGTCATGTAGACAAATTTTTAAAGATTACAATGTTTTAACATTGCCCTCTCTGTATATATTGGAGGTGACATGCTGTATCAAAAAATACAAGGTTTTTATGGCAATAAATTCAGACATTCATAATTATAACACATGAAGAAAATTAAATTCTCATGTACAGCACTGTAATACAGCTCTTTTTAAGAGGAGTGTGATAAATATAGAAATAAGTTTGTATAATAAGGTCCCCAATCAAATAAAACAAACGGAAAATTTTAATTCATTTAAAAAGGAATTAAAATCTTTTTTGCTGAAAGATTCCTTTTATTCTGTAGATGAATTTGTCTTTTGATTTTTCAAGTGTGTAAATGTAATATATAGCTGATTAATTTGTTGTATTTGTGTAAAGACAATGAAATTAATGGTGACTAATCTACATAATATTATTCAGATGACAAACCCCCTATATTAGGGTGGTACAGTGCATACTGTAAAGATATACACGAGAATTAGATGTAAAACTGACAATTTCCTTATCCAAATTGTTGTAATACCTGTATGTATGAATTGTTGAATGATAATAAATGATAAAAACCTGGTGGACTGACTCCAAACATCAGCCAAAATAAGATGTGACTGACGACCATACTTACTGAGAGGATGATATATTGGTTTGTGCAAACCCTTAAGAAACTTTATTATTCTTTGGGCAGATTCAAATGGATTTTGCCATGTGGCATCATATAAATGCCAGACCCGAGCAAATGTATTCCATTGCTAAAATAAAATTAAGGACATATTAAAACTCATTTACATGTGTTCTCATACACCATTACACGTTTCTACCCCATTTCTAGGAGTGTACCATAAGAGTATAGGTTATGGTTACTATATTGCACAGAGATATCATTTTTAGTGTCACGTATTTCCTGATAATGAAATGTAACTAGTATTTAATAACAAAATTCGTACCTGTACCCGCTTATATGCTGACATTTTAAGTACAGCGGGTAAACCAACCCACTACTTCAAACAAAACTCCCTAAAACACCACTTACACCACACACAAGACCAGAAACGGGCGGAAGTTCCGTGCGGTACGTTCGGTAACATGAATGCCTGGATACGTTCACAACGTTCACAACATCAAAGACGTTAACATTTGGTCATACAAAAATATCGATAAGGGGAAGGAATTAACTTCTTCCATAATCATCGTACACCCATTATTGCTAATAATTAGAAAAAAATGTGGCGCATGAAATGATCTAGTATTTGATTTAGTATTAAATATTCAACGATGCAATGAACGATGATAGGTAACATCGTTTGGAGGAGAGCACACCCAAGAAACTAGCAACCGCAACGCAAAACGCAATTTCAGTAAAATGTCGCTGATTTTAAGCAACTGGTTTATATATTAGCAGGCCCACACTGAAGAAATTTATGTTTGATTAGTTGCTCACATCATCTTAAGCGATCCTTCTGCAATGGCAGATAGTAATACTGATTCTATCATTAATATTTTGGTAGTTGATCAAGTCAAGGAGGATGGGGTGGGCAGGAAATGTAGCACAAATGGGGGAGAAAAAGAATGCATATAGGATATTGGTGGGAAAGCCAGAAGGAAACCAACCAAGGCGTAGGTGGGTGGACAATATAAAAATGGATCTTAGAGTGATAGGCTGGGATGGTAGGGATTGGATTGATCTAGCTCAGGACTGGGACCAGTGGACGGCACTTGTGAACAGGGTAATGAACCTTCAGGTTCCATAAAATGCTGGGAAGATTTTTGAGTAGCTGCACAATTGGTGGCTTCTCAAGAAGGGCTCAGCTCCATGAGTGAATGATCTGTATTATTTCTTATATAATTTTATTTGCAGCAGTAATTATTACTGCTTCTATCCTTTCCAATTTTTGGATTATTAAAGAGTTTCCACTATATGATTGTTATTAGTTTCTTGGCTATACAATTCTCTTCTTTCCACATCCTTAAATTTGTGTTCCATTTATTTTCCCTGATTTTAGTCTTCAGTAAAAAATGATTCGAGTCACAATTAGGTCCTCAGCTTGACCTAACATCTATCACAGATGATGCATGTCTTCATCTATTAGGTTTACAGTTATATTATCTGGTGCTCTTCAGGTTCCCAAATGTATCAGTTTATGTTGAAAGCAGGTACTTTAAGTTTTAGTTTATATCTTGTGGCAAAATAACCCAACATTTGTCCACTTTCATTGATTGTATCATGTACAGTGTATTTTCCTGCTACATCTTTAATAACCTTGAGATCATATTTTGGTATTAACTGGAAAGCTCTATTCAGGTTATCACAGAATTCATCTTTATCATTTGTGCGAGAGAGACTGATAAGATTGTGGTATTATTGAACTTCCTTGCTATTCTTATTTTTAACTTCTTTATTAAGACCATCACAACACAACCACATCAAGGTCAGTGCCTGGTTTTGGCTCTGCTGTGTGTTTCAATTATTAATAGCCATCATCAGGCAAATACATGGCTGAACTGCAGTATTAATGAAACTGGATACAATAATATTAATTATACTTTTGACATAAAAACACAATAAATTAGATTATATAAAACAAAAGTTACAGTATAAAACAAGAATAAAATTGTATTTTTATGTCAAATATTTTATTATAATTAATATTATTGTATCCAATTTTATTAATACTGCAGTTCAGTGGTGTATATATGCTAGCCATGTATTTGCCTGATGATGGCTATTAATAGCCGAAACATGTAGCAGAGCCAAAACCAGGCACTGACCTTGATGTGGTTGTGTTGTGACGATCTTAATAAAGAAGTTATATGTTATAACTCAACAGGATGCTTGAAATGAAATTATTATTTTGCTTATCTGTTAATTTATTATTTCACATCGTAGTATTCTACTCCTCATAGTTTGGTTAAGAATAATAAATCCTGTTCCTGCCTCTCCTGTTTTCTCAGCTGTACATCTGTAATAAAAAGTAGTCTTTTTTTCATTTATTTTCCTTATACCTTGCAATCTCATTTCTTGCAGAGCAGCAATATCTATTCTATATTTAGAGATTCAACAAAAACAGGCAACATATTTACATATGTGATATGAATAAGGGTGAGGAAATTTAGGTAACACCAGGTCATCATCACACAGCACTGTGAATGCTGTATCCTCTGCTACTTTTCTGGTATTATTGATAGCAAAATTTAACAAATATCACTCTCTTTCAATGTTGACACACACAGCATATTGAATTCTCTGCCAAATTAATTTCAGATGTAGGATTTTGTTGCACATCTTGTCCTACTATTAGGAATTTGGTTTTTTTATATAGAATTTAGTATACAGCACTATCTTATGGTTAATTATTATGGATTACATTGATTTTCCAGTATTTGATAATTCACATACTATGCTAACAGCTCAAAAATTTGTAGCAATATTTTAGATTAAACATGTTAATTCTCTTCTTGAATAGCTACATCACACAGTTGTGGGCAATGGAGCTGACATTTTGAAAGTTCAGTATGCGCCAAAAATGCAGTACTGAAACTCGCGCATCTCGAACACACGTGTCCCCAGCAGTGAAAAGGAAGTTGTGTTGTGCAGTTGTTCGAAATGGGTCTCTTGACGGAGGAAAAAGTATTCATAGTTGAGAAATATTTCCGCTCATACGGAAGTGGTCACCAGTCAACTCGCTTCCTTGGTTTTGAGTGGCCAGATGTTATCATTCAGAAACCGCTACATAGTACACGTGACAATATGGTGTGCAGCCCTTATTTCATTGAGGATGGCAATGCTCTTACCATCACCCAAGAACGCTACAGGAACATGGTGATCGGACAATTTCTTCAGGATCTGAGAAGGTTGTCGTGCAAGGGGCCTTCACAAGAATAGACAGTGGTATCAACAGGACATATTTTCATTTCAGTACTGTATATTTTGGCACATACTATATATGCTGCCACTTTCTTCAGGATTGACCTGTGTAGGTTCATGAAGTTTTCCTGTGCATGTCACTGTTTTAAATAGCAGAGGCAGAGAGATGGCTGGGACTGATGTCATGCTTGGGCCAATGGACCAGGAAAATCTGTACATACACATACTTCAGCAACATTACCCACCATCCATACAATGTAATAACCAAATAATAGAATATCAATAACTTTAGTACCAATTTTACCCAACAGAAATATAGGGCTGTAACTGAATACAATAAAACTCAGTTTTTAACAAATCTCACTACACTATGGGTCAAGAAATGTCTCCCAACATAATTCCATTTATTTTTGTCATAAACAACCTTGCTTCAAATTTTACAGCATTTATATTTTCTGTAAACAACTTTGTTCAAATGACACAAGTCTAGCTGGTTGCTTTGAGTGGATAATATGATCTTGCACATGAACAGTGATTTATTAGTCACTGATTCCTCTCTACCTGAGCTACAGAAAAGCCCTCCAGCATTGGAATAAGTGTGGAAAGTTGGATATATTAGAAAATGAAGACAAAAGCTTGCAACCCATGAAACTAGCAAGTATTGGATAGCATCAGTTAAAATTGGATGGAGATGCAGAGTGACTGTAATCATTTTAAATTTGCAAAACATTAAAATGTGACAAAGAAACGACATCAGCTGTCATGCCATAATAAAATACCAGACTGTTTTAGAAACACCAATTAAATAAGGCATGCAGTATCATTTTATTGTAATTTGATATTAAATGTTACAAACAAAAACTTTCATGTTAAAAATTTACTTCTCATGAAATTTCCCTCAGATAGCATGGGTCTTCATTCTGTCTCCTGACACCTGCATAATAATGTAGTTTAGCCATTAACCAGGGCTCTGAATTTGGACTTGGCACATGGTAGCATACTTGGTTGAGGCATTATGTTACAAGCTGGAAGGTGCAGGATTGAATCCCAATGAGATCATTGGATTCTTTTCAATTTACCTAATCCTTCCAGCCGCACTATGGCCCTGGGGTCAACTCAGCCTGTAACAGAAATGAGTACCAGGAATATTCTTGGGGGTAAAGGGCGGTCGCTGGCGAGTAGGGCTAACAAACCATGGCCGCTCCATAGCTCAAGTGGTTAGTCACTGGCTTCCCACCACCTTGGTTCGATCCCAGGTCTGGTCAAGTGGGATTTGTGGTGGACAAAGTGGCACTGGGGCGGGTTTTCTCCAAGTACTTCAGTTTCCCCTGCCAATCTTCATTCCACCAAATTTTCCATCATCATGATCACCCAGGACACGTACAATAGGCCAATCAGTGGCTGTTGACCCAGCTGGACTCCACCCCCTATAGGCAAAGACGAGTGAAAAGACTGACAACCTTGCCGCCTCCTATGAGCTGATTGTCTAGAAAATGCGGGAACCTCATGATCTCACAACCCTATGGGCCTCCATTGCCTGCTACAAGGATACCTTTACTATATTTACTATACTATACTATACTCTATTTACTACACCTACTGTATTTCCTTCACGTCATGATTTACTGTTCTGTTTATCTCCGGCCAAGCTGAAAGTATCTGCTCAACCCCATTCACCCATCTTATTCCAAGGCTTGAAACACCATGGTACCTACCTTGCAGGTGTCTCACAAAGTGCTTGTACTTCCCAAGTACTTTGTTTTAAGAATCAGCTAAGATAAGATAATTTTTTGGAATTGGATCTTAGAAAGACAGAATGGGGTGGTATGGACTGGATTGATCTGGCTCATGATAGGGGCCTGTGGAGGGCTCTTGTGAACATGGTAATTAACCTCAGGGTTCCATAAAATGTTGGGAAGTTCTTGTGTAACTGCAAAACTGGCAGCTTCTCAATCAGCTCCACGGAGTTAGTTACACACACGATTACACTTTCAATACTTAAGTCATTGTCACCTGTTGGTAAGGTACCGCCTCAAAAATACTTCTAAGGGATAGGAAAAAGAGATGGTAGTATGCTCGATTTTTATTCCTTGTCAATGATGTTTCCAGATGAGTGGAAAATCTTAAAAACACTGCACAAGAAATAACTGTACTTAGCACCCAAATATTTATACTGTGACCCTGACATAATTATTTCCAAGTGATGATCCATTAAGCTTTCATTTCCTTACTCAAGTTCTGATTAGAATCTGTAAACATACAGAACACATTTAGCTCTTATTTAACTTGAAGCCTCATTGAAAATCCATACAAGTTAAGCAGTAATGTTTTCAAATACAATGCTGAATTTCTGTTAAGTGTTCAGTTTGTGAAATATTGAAGCCTGCACTTGTTTCAGGGAATTCTATTTTATTATTAAATTAGTTCTGTTATACATCAATGCTCCCTGCAACTCAGTTATCTTAGCAATAATAATAATATAAAAGTCAGAATACAACACCTTATGGTACTTAAACTCATGACTGAAGTATATACTGAATTTGCCATGAATTATATAAGTTGTAAAATAAATTAAAGTGACTTGAAATATCCTAATGCCATATGACTTAGTTCGGAACAATCAGTTTTCCTATGCTTCTCATAATGGCACTGAAGACAATAATTACAGTCTTACTTGCTTTGTCTGAAATGCAAAAATACATCAATATTTTAAGGATCAAATCTGGAGTTCAAGATCATCCAAATGACTCTGTTTCCTTGGCAGACACACAGACCTAGACCTCTTTCATCATTTACATCCAGCCTGAGATGTGAAAAAATCTGACCCAACCACATTTCCTGGGTTGTAAGGCCAATGGGTTAATTACTGAAAAGGAACACCCATACAAAAACGTACTAGAGCAATGCATGGACAAAACTAATGACCAAAATACTGCAAAATCTGCCATCTTATTTGCAGAGCCATATCTCAAAATACTAAAACATTCCATATCCCTCACATGATCATATAGCAACATTTTCATTCCATTTTGAAACAGGATCAATTACCTATCATATCTCTATTTAATTATTACTTGTTCTTTGGATCCCACAAAACAATTATTCACTCTTTATATCAAAGTTAGACCTCATGGAAAGACATCTGTGGAGCAGGTTTCTCTGTGAAGCAGTAAATTCAAATGCTAAACTTAAAATCTTGGAGGAAATTTAACACTTAAGTTTACTGAAACTGAACATTAAATGAGTGAAAACAAACTGAAGAACAATAAATGGGGATTCAAATGCAGGGTGAAACTGGTGTATTAGAGACCTCTAATAACATGATACAGGCCTGAAACTCTATTGCTAGGACTCTTCAAACAATACAAAGTACAGTTACTTTAAGCTCTTTTTACTATGTTGACAATTGTTTGTAGATTCCTTATGTTATATATTAATTTTTACACATCTCATTCCTATTTTCCATCTTCAGGTATATGCAATTCCTACATTTAACCTTTTTTTGCCTGCTATTCCTCCTTACACTGCCCAGTGTGTACAGAATGGGAGTGGTTACTCGGGTTCATAAGTTTTTTTATGTATAGTAAAACTACTTCACTTTACAAAGGAACACTTTACACACTCAGATCTTACATTCTGCCAACAATTTGTACAAAGTGCCAAGAAAACTGTGTGTCTAAATAAAATAAGCTTTCACATCCCATCAACACAAATTTTCACCAACATCACTGCCTGGGTTCAGGAATTTAAGGAGTACTGAGGTCAAAAAACAAACCAATTAGCTAGCCATATTTTGATTAATTCCTAAAAATGATAACTTTCATCCATGTAGGAAATGATCTACTAAGTGGCTGTGGATAGCAGCAGTAAAAGCTTGAGTCCTGCTGCTCACAATTTTTAATAATTTAAGTAGTACTTCACTGAAATCATCCATGTATTACTAATGACTGTAACAGAAAAGTGAAATTAGAACAGAATGTACAGCGCTGCACGCAGAATATCCACAACACAACTTCTTATAGAATTACAGATGTTCCCATTATAACATAACACACATATTACTACTGATGTATCAATATTCTGTTAATATACCAGACCCTACAAATTACTAATTAATTCATTATTATTCTAATTCCTTTAGACAAAGCTTGTATAAAAGATCTGCTGTGCAAGTTTTAAGCAAAAATATATTTGGTGCAACTAAGAAAAAGTGTACCAAAACAAATGTTCCTTTAAAAAAAGAAATAGTCATAGATATAGGTAACAGAAACATAAAATGCACATTAATTTTATGATACAAAGATGTTCCATGAAATTATTAGTAGTAAAAAAAAAACAATATCCGGTGCTACTACCACCAAGAAAACAATGTTGTCTTGAAGAGAATAAAGCACCACTTCAATGGATGTTAATTACCTCACACAGGCAGGTAACATGACTCTCTCCTGTTAAAATATAGAAGTCAACCACCTGAATGACAGCCAGTCTTTTGGCATGTCATGTCACTGACTGCAACACTGAAAAAAATCTAACATTAATGACGTGCTGTTTTTGTCTGTGAAGTTCCACTTATGGACACAGAATGCCATATTTTAAGTACTTCACATGATTTTGCACCGATCTTCTCCTTGGGGATCACCCTGCAACACAAAAGTTCCCAATAAAACATGATTCTCACAATTACAATATACAGCATTTAAGTGACGGCAAGGCCAACTGATAACAAACTTCATGATACAGTACATCTTGAAATTCTGCTATGAGACCCATGGTTCATCACACATATGTAAAATGTAAGGGAAAGGATTCTACAGAAAACTACTTCTATTGTGCATCTGCCTTGATAATATCATTTCCATGATACATGGCACTTGAAAATTCAACACCATATGCTACAATCACTTTGAAATCTGAAAAGGCATGTACATGAAATGTCATTTTATAACTGACATGGAGAAACTCTTTGTTCATAAAAACACTACAAAAATTTCTTTGAAATGCATATGTCCCAGTTCTGCCCTCAGTTGACACCCAATCTTTGTTCAAGTCTAGTGCAGTATCCACAGAATGAAGGCTTCAAGTCATTTTGTTCTATAATTTAGATGCTGCAAATGGCCTGCTCTGGTGAGCTGAAGTCCCAGTTTCTTCTTGACCTATGGTGAGACAAACTTGCTAGTGAGCTTAGCTTTGCATTGGACATGTTGTAAAGCAAGGAAAGGACATTAATATGTTCTTCTTGAGAACAAGTAGAAATTGTAAATTTTAATTTAAGCAGGAACAGACATGCTCATCATTCATTAGGAGGCAGGGCTTGCATGTCCCCTTACTTTGTTGCACTTCATAGCAATGTCAGACAACCATTGGTCACGAACCCAAAGTTGGTACTGGATATTCCCTGGCCTATAGTTTTAAAATCCCATAGTCTTAATTAGTTGGCCAATAGCATATGTGATTATAAAAGTTGCAGAACTGCAGAGAAGAATTTCATATATGTGAAAGTGGGCTCCAAGATTCATATTCAGACAGAAGCATCTTTCTGGAGTTGCCTCTTCGACCCAAAAGAAAAAAGATCTGTGCTGCTCAGTCTTGGAAATATAATTTACAATTTGCTTTCACAGCAAGAAATGAGATAAACTGCAGCCGATATAAAATAATGCTGATGTGGGAACCACCCACACCAAACCAAGCGCTAGCCAATCACAGGCCAGGAACCATCTGCTGCTAAGCAATGGCTCGGTAAACAGCCATTGCTAGGAAAAGCCTACAATACATTACAACAGTAGGCATCTCTCGTTAGGCAATGAATGTGTTTTCTACAGGTTATATAAGAGGAAGATAGAGCAATAGAGAGAGATTTATCCTGTGTGCAGGCTGGGTCAAATGCCTCCACCGTAGCCCTGCCAGTCATAAGAGGTGACAAAAAGGGAAGCCTTGAATCAGACAGTAAAATATGGTCGTGAGTCCCACGGGACCTGAGATTGACTGCGCTGACAAGCAGCAGCAGCAATTATGAACAATAGACCTGTCCTCTCATCAGAGAGAGCAGTGGTGAATGCCTGGAGAATGACACCTGTCAGCTGTGTAGTGCCAACACTGACATTTGGAGGTGGCATTACAGAGTTGGGGTGTTCTTCTCGGAATGGACTTGTCCCTCCTGTAATACTGCATGGAAATCTAAACACAGGATACAAAGACATTTTGACCCACTGCATACTGTCTATGGCAGAAGACCAGTTTGGTGATGGCAATTGTCTGTATCAGCATAACAGTGCTCCCTGCCATAAAGCAAGGTGTGTGAGGGAATGGCTTGTGGACAATAAGGTTCCAGAAATGGACTGCCCAGCCCAGAGTCGGTGCCTTGAATCCCACAGAACACCTGTGAGATGAATTAGAATGCTGACTTCACTCCAGACACCAATGCCCCATACCACTAACTGCTTTGGCTACAGCTCTGCAGGAAGAATGGGCTGCCATTCCACCAGAGACATTCAGACACCTGGTAGAAAAAATTTCTCCCATGGAGTTAAAGTTGTCATAAAGGCAAAGGATGGGCCCACCCACTATTAATATCCACAACTGGGAAGTGTGTCACAGAAGAGGTTGGATTACAGTTTCGAGTAAGTGACCAGATAATTTTGATCAGATAGGGTCTGCTTGCAGACTGAAATCACGGAGTGTATACAAACCTGTAGTGTGTCCAGGTTCTGTTAGGACTGTGGTCATTAAGAGTGCAAGACATGAATTATTTTCAAAATTTCACTCCTTTTATTCAAAATAGTCTCCTTCTGAATCAATACAAAGCTGGAATCGATTGAAAAGCTTTTGAAAACAGTCACTGTACTCCTTTTGTGGAATCACATTTAAAACTGCGTTAGATTCCCTTTGGATGTCCTGGACTGTGTCTTGACAGTCTCCTTTCATCGCCAACTTAACTTTTGGGAACAACCAGAAATCTGCTGCAGCCAAATCTGGCGAATATGGAGGACGCTCAAGGACTGTGATCCCCTTTCTGGCCAAAATATTGTGCACGATCTTCGATTTGTGGGGTGGGGCATTGTCGTGGAGGAGCGACCAGGAACCTTGATCTCGATATTCAGGTCAAATTCAAAGAATTCTCACACACAAAAGATTGAGGACTCTGAGATAATAATCAGAATTCACTGTCTGACCTTTTGGCAGAAATTCCTTTGGAGTTGAAGAAAACAGTTAGCAGTGGCTTTACCCAACTCTTTTGCGTGCACATTTTCTTTGGCTTCGGCTTCTTGGGGCTCAACCATGCTGCACTTTGCCGCTTTGTGAGAGGCTCACAAAACAACCTGAAAACAACCTGTTTCATCACTAGTAACAATCAATTTTGTATCACTTTCAGCCGACCGTAACATGTCTTTGTAGTGTTCCACTCTGGCATGTTTTTCATCGCCTGACAGTATTCGGTACAAACTGGGCACAGACCTTCTGTTTGCCCAAATCCACAGTCAAAATTTGATGCGCAGTACTTTTGTTATTCCCAAAAGCCCCTCGATGAATCTTGCAGAAACACATCTGTCTGAGCCAAGGATTTCAGTCACTTTTTTCTCATTTTCTTCAGTGTGACTTGTTCTCGGCTTTGATGCATGTAGAGCGTCTTCAATGTCCTCCGTGTCGTCAGGAAATACAGCATACCATTGAAAAACGCTCAAGCGACTCAATCAATCACTACTGTACACACTTTTCATCATTTTGTATGCTTCTCCGGCTGTTTTGCCTAACTTCAAACAAAATTTGATGTCGGCTCTCTGTTCAACCGCCATTTTCCAACAAGCGTCAGAACAGTACTGTTACGTTCAAGATCAGAACACATGATGCAGTGATGCCTGTACTTTGAAATTACTGACAGCCACAGCTGAAGCTTCAAGAATCTTAATGCTACAATTCGCCAACAGATGGCATTGCAGGGCAAAAGAAAAAAAGAAAATAAGTCCTAATGGATCCTGGACACAGTGTATATCAGTTTAATAAGTGGTTGTCTCTACATACGACATCCCACACTTTGAAATACTGTAATGTATTTGATCAATGCACTGCCAGGGAACAGCACTGTAAACACAATAAGAGCACACAACAGTAGAGCAAGCTGTGTTTTCCATGTGTCTGGCAGCTGGTGCAGAGGTGGTGACATCACACAGCAACAGTAGGTAGGGGTCACATGATGTGTGTTTACTGTTGGTTGATGTCTGTCCCTCAGCTATATAAGTGCGCAGAATTTCATAGAACAAATTGATGCTATGAACACCATGTGGAGGTGGGGCTGAATACCTCCACTGTGACCCTGCAAGTCGTAGGTGACGAAAAGGGAAGTAACAAATCTGAGACAGTAAAATATGGTCGCGAGTCCCAAGGTACTCGGACCTGAGAAAGACTGCGCTGGCAAGGACCAGCAGCATATACAAAAGACGGACCCATCCTCTAGTCAGAGATACAGATACAAGACAGTAACTGTCAAACGGTAATAATTAATATCTGGTCATGAGCCCCAGATGGGGCTTGACACCAAGACTTACTTACTGACTGACTGACTGACCGACCGTCAGTCGCAATGTGACTTTGACTTTGACTAGAGCGAACTGGAACCAGGAGTACAGAAAAGTACAGGAGGCTGGCCTGTGAGGATTTAATGTGATCTGAAGACTTTATGCATGCTATAGAGCAGTGATATTGGAAGTGTGTGATTTAGGGAGATTTTTATACTTCCTGCATTATAAATCTGTGAAGACCAGAGGAGAGTTCAGCAGTTGAGAATACAAGGGCGAGAATGGAGCATGTTCACAGTGAATTGTGAAGATTAGTTGATTACAGATTAGGACAGAGGAGTACAGAGTGACTGAAGACAAGATGACTTCATAGTGATTTGAAGTGGCAGTTTCGGGGAGGAGATCTGTTTCTAGGAGACAACTAGTAGAAATTGAGAATCCTAGTGCGCGTGCCACGGTGAAATACAAAGTGTAGAAACAGCGATAGCACTGCACTAATTGTAATCAGGAGAGAGTATGATTAAAAGAACTTGTAACCAAGCTGCTAATAAATCCAATCATCTGAACATGTGACAATATAAAACTTCTGGCATGCAGGAAAATGTTTCATCAGTTCTAGTACAGACATTTGAAATCCAAAATGTTTCTGTGTAACAATTTCACTCATTGCACAACTATACCTGCTGATGGTAAAGATCTTCAGAGCCTATGTCTAAGGATCTGTGTGATGCAAGGTAGCCAGATATTTCTCGGTGGCGTGATGATGAACTGGACAGCTGTTGGCGCTTCCGCTCAGATACTGCCATTTCCTACATTAAATACACAAAGAACATATGAATAATATAAATTTTCTCCTGGAATAGGTACGATTAATATAAAACACATTTAAGATATTAGAGAACAAAGGGATCAGATAATGGTCATGCTACTATGCTCCTCACAGAGACAGAGTGCAAAGTAAAGAAGCAAGCACTTAAACCCCAGCAACAGATGAAGGGGAGTGACCAGTTTCAAGCTCTAGGCGCTTGCCCACACCCAACAACAGTACTGAATAACAGATAAAGTGGGCCTTAATAGCTGGTCTGGACACTGAGGCAAACAAGGTAAGAATCCTGTCCCTTACCGGAACTTAGCTGTGCAGGCCACACCCTATCACTTCACTCACTGAGCCACAGCTCCTCTTGTATAAAACAACAAGAGGTTTTAAAATGTAATAATTCAATAGTATGGTATAATGAAATCCATATCTTTGAGATTTCGCTAGATTAAAACACACTGCTTCAAAACTAGTTTAAACAAGAACTTGAAAAGAATAAACCCAAACACTTGTACTGTTGGGCTAGGATCCTACATACTGACAAATATTAAATCAGGGGAAAGCTTGCTGGTTTCAGTGTGCATGCAGTACTAAATTTGATTCATATGGTACAGTCCAGCACCGTAGGTACGTGCATATGCCCCATACACAGATCACTCTGCCCTTATAACTAGTCACACTGAGAAAACTAACAATTCAAAGCAAACATACAGAAATCAAGTTTGGCAAATCTGAGTGATATCAGCTGATGTAATGTCTTTTATAAGCTATGGAAATCAAGGTAATAATCCTGAAAGGGCGCATTTGAAAAATGAAGCAGGACTTTGTGGTACTTCAACTTACTTCACTGGTGTTGCTGAGGAGAGTAGTACTCATGGAGTCAGCAACAAACCATTTCTGGCCCTTCATGACAATATTGTATGGTGGTTCATGAGTCTGACCAGAGTCAGACGACCAAACTGTTATTGTTGCACCCGGCTCAATCTTAACACTGCGGTGGAACTTGAATGAAGTCTCCAGATCTCCAGCTCGACGTATCAGTTGCCAGCCACTCAATACTATCTCCTATGAGTACAAAAATTTATATCAAAATATATTAATCCTCCCGCTGCCATTAACATGTGGAACCAGGCCACACCATAGCTCAAGTGGTTAGTCGCTGGCTTCCCACTGCGGTGGCCCAGTGTTTGGTCAAGTGGGATTTGTGGTGGACAAAGTGGTGCTGGGGCAGATTTTCTCCAAGTACTTCAGTTTCCCCTGTCAATCTTCATTCCATCAAATTCTCCATCATCATGATCACCCAGGGCAGGCTACAATAGGCCAACCAGTGGCCACCGTGCCAAGTGCACCCAGCTGGACTCCACCTCGCACTAAGCGAATTTAATTTAAAACATGTGGAACCTATTTACACAGACCTATTGCTGAACAAATTGAACTACCATGTACATCAAAATAACACTGTATATATCCCATACACTTATTAAAATGATGTGGCAACTGATATTATGGTTCACATTCTTATTGTGTTAATGATATATAAGTTTTCCAGTATATTCAATAAATCAATCTCTGTCTCTTCACACTAAATTTTTGTGTCAAGTTGCACTGTAATGCAAGGACAAAGTGGAGTGCATATATTACTTTGGGGCATGTGTCTGTAAATACATACAACTGTACTGTATTGATAATCTGCCCTATAATCTACGAATTACAAGCTTACAAACTCAAAAGCACATATAGTTAATTATTCACAAGTCATATGTTACTCAAATCATGTTTTTCAAATACCCTGGGGTATTGCACACATAACTCTATGGTTTTCCAATGGTATAAATGAGAGTGCAAAACAAAAATAAAATATGAAGAGAGTCGTCTTCTGGGTTTAGGCACCGTGTATTCTTCGTGTTTCCTGGACTCACTGGCCGTTCCCCCCCCTCCCTTAGTCACACACCAAATATGGTCTTAATCGCTCCCCACTGCTCCCATTGGTCCGTTCTCCCTAACCAACCCCCTTGCCTACTTCGTATATAAGCAGCGCCTTTCACATCCTATCACCACAGCTACTGCTCTCCGCATTCCAGCCATTCAACTGCTCTGAAGATGGAGGCGCTACGTTCCTCCGAAACGTCGGCCAACACGAAGAATACACGGTGCCTAAACCCAGAAGACAACTCTCTTCATTGTCATCGCCGTGAAAACCTCAAAACTAACAAAAATAATACATGTTTAAAATATACAGTGTTTCCTAGGCAAAAAGATTTCCTGTGTAAGACATCAGATTTTTTAAGTCCTACCAAAACTGCCATTAGGCTACTGTTAAATTTTCCTGCATACAGATCCTGCGAATAAAATTTTCCTTTCATTATCTTCTGACTATTATATAAAAATTTCTCATTTAGTATGTTTAAAATAATACTGATGAACTGAATATGGTGTGCAAGTTTGATCGTGTGTTTAAAATGCTTTACAACCATTGCTTCTCCATAGTCAAAATGTGCTGTAGTTGATAATCAATTATGGACTGCTACATAACTTATACTTAGACTGTTGACTGTTCATTTCCAGTTACACAGTTTTTGTAATTCTTCTTTATTATGTGTATCACTAAACATCTGTTTCCTCTCATTTCATTCACAATAGTCTTGTTTCATTGTCCAGTAAGCTTGGTGCCATACATATGCGTCTTTTCATAAGATCAATATGAACAAGAAACTACTATTATTAGCATTGTGGTGTAATTTAAATTAAACATGATGGTGGTTCCAAATTAAATAGGAAGTAATGACTGTATAGGACAAACTTAATATTATATAGACAATGGAAGCAAATCTAATTACAACACATGTTGAGGCATTTACAAAACTCTGGGAATAGATGAATTTGTTACTGGACTATAAAGTAACACACCAAACAAATGACTGCAGAATCATATTTAAAGAACAGTAAAATTATTCATTTGTAGAATTACATAATTTTGTCTAATTTTGTTGCCAGCAACAATTTTTACAGTATTTTTAGGCTGTACTATACTTCTTTTATTTATTTTTCAATATCTGTGAAGTAAAACACATAATCACTGCACGAGTATTTCCAAGGTGCCCTACTAATATATGTACATTCGTACTTTTTATAACTGAAATATCATGAAACAACTGCCTGAGATCAAAATATAAGAGCGAATCCAAAAAATGAACCTAATATTATATTTCCCACATGATTAGTTTTCCCCTTTAAGCTTCTTTCACTGGTCCTTTGATAAACTTATCATGGGAAAATGCACAATTTTATCACAATTATGTTTACTAAACTCAAATGCAATATACATAATATTCAGTTTACCTTATTGCCTTTGTTATGTAGTTTGACAAACTTTCCATCAGGGCAGACATCACTGATCTCAACTTCTCCTTTGGCATGAGATGTTATGTGATAATTAGATGTAGATGATTCCTCAGATTCCTCCAATGTGGTACGTTTCCTTTTACCACCACGCACTGGTGTTCGCCTTACAGGAGTTCCACGCATAACACGTATGCCTGGTGATTGCATGGGGCTAATGTTCAGCCTGGCCTCTTCTGACTCAAGCAATTTGCGGTATGCTGCAATCTCCAAATCCAATGCTACCTTGATGTCCATAAGGTCTTGATATTCTTGCAGTTGGTTAGCCATCTCATCACGAAGTTGCTGAAGTTCTGCCTCCAAGGCAGCCCTCTCGTCTGCGTGACGTTGCCGTTCAACATCTAGCATCTTCTCTAGGTCACGAACACGGATCTGAAATCACAAGGGTGCTCTTAAAATGGAATCTCAAATATTAAAAAGCTTCAAATGAAAAAGTAGCTATGTATGTGCTGGATAAGCAGCTGACCATTTCATGCAGGCAAAAGCAACTGCAGTTCTAATACGGTGTTTCTGTTTCCAGGCAGAAGTTTTGCTGCACTAAGCTTTCAGTTTATCGGGGAAAAAGGAACAAATTCTGGCATAACAGCAGACACTATATCTGTAATTCCACCAACAAACAAATCAAAATGGAAATGGAAATGAATTACAGAGTGTATCTTGATCTCTGAGCTTGCCAAACTGCACAGGTTCAACAGATGGAAACATATCAGCATAAAATGCTTTCCTAAAACCGGATCACTCTACTTCAACCACAAGGGTTATCTTTCAGTAATACTACCAGCATGTGCAGATGGTGATGCTTTATTTACTGCTGTCCACGTTGGGGACTTCAGCAAGAACAGTGATGGCCCCATGTTTAGGGATTCTACCTGCAGACAGAAGCTGGAGATGGAAGATTGTATATCCTGTTTCCAACTTCATTACCAGTGGACGACAGCTGTGAAACATTTCCCCACTATTTGGTACTAGGATATGTATATTTGATTACAGACGCTTTCATACCGGAAAATAATGTAGAACATGCATTTGGTTTCCAAAATGCCAATTTCAGATATCTGAGGGACCAGTATGCTGCAAAGAAGAAACTGTGAATTCAATTGTTAAAGAATCTGTTGTCCTCCACAATTTCATTAGAACCACAAAGGGCTCTTTTGTCATGGATGCAAAAACTATGCAGTGAATCAATCAAGCCATCATATTTTAAATGAAGATGATGAACGCAAAGATTATAGAGGGCACAGCGCCTGTGAAATCTGTGGATTGATTATTTCTCATTCTTAGCAGGAGCAATTTCATCAACTGATGATTGATTGATAATATTAATTGAATATAACTGATAATTAGATGACTAAACTAACTGCCAACTAGTATTACATAGCACGGGACGATCACGGTAGCCAAGCGGTCTAGGCATGCACTGTCTTTGCTCACTCGAAGCCGGGATCATGGGTTCGAATCCCGCTCAGGGCATGGATGTTTGTGTGCGTTTTTCCGTGTTTGTCTACAGGTAGAGGCCTTGTGACGAGCTGATCACTCGCCCAAGGAGTCCTACTGTATAAGATCTAGAAAAACCAAAGTGAACGGAGTTCATGGAGGTAGGCCTAGGCCCACTGGGGCTGTAGTGCCAAGGAATAAAGGAAAAATTACATAGCATGAGCCATACTGTATTATTCTGTGTTGCTTTTGCTTTAGCAGACCTATTCTGTGTTCAGATTCAAATCAGAGAAACATCAGATTCCATCTCATGAGCCATTCTTTCCCAAACCAATCAGTTTTGTTCCATCTAGCACATTCTGGGTGGGATATGTCATATATCTGGCTCCTACTAAATTAACTTTGTAAAAACAAAATTACCAGTTTCATCAACCTTTCATGCCATCTAAAAGAAGCAAATGGGTCACCGAAAGATGTCAGAACTGTTGAAATTAATATAACTATTCTGGAATACAACAGTAAGAAAACAGGCTTGTTCAGTTGCATGAAAGCTTGCTAAGCTTCTTAGTTTTCCACGAGTTGCACTGCAATCACACTGCCGTTTCTCAAGTTTGCACTGCTCAATTCAGTTCCACATGCTAAACTCAGTCTGACAAAATTTCTTCAAAGCTGCGGTTGTGTTACGGTTGCCAGTTTCCTTGATGTGCCCTCGCCCTAAATATAACTGTTGAATTGAATTGAATTGAATTGTTAGCTAAACACACACAGAAGTCTTCTATGTCTTCATCAGCCATTGCTTGCTAAAGGCTCCTAACAATGAATATACCTTTGCTTCTGTGCTCATGTCATTACCAATGGCCACCATCTCACAGCTAACTCTCAACTGCAAGTAAATGGCTTGTCCCACTGGTCCTGGTTATACAGTCTTAGAAGGGACAACACAGAAAAACACGACGTTACAGTCATTTTTACTAGCTCTTGTGAAGCAATCACCTGTGTGTTTACCAGTTATTGGTTAGCAATGGCGGCCACTTCTGGTTTCAGCCATTATATCACAACATATTTTCCATGCAAATGAAGATAATACTCATCTCTTATTAACATTTTTTCTCATACGTAAGGATATCAGATCAACAGTGAAAGAATGAAGAGACTGCTACCAGAAATGCATGGAAAATTTTTAATCATAAAATCTGAAAGGAAGCAGCCACACTGGAGATTAAGGCATAGATGGGATGAAAATAATTGCATCACACCAAAACAGGGTATGAGGTGTGGACAGGACTCAAGTGGCTCAGGGAAGGTTTCCATTGGCAAGCTCTTGTGAGCACAGCATTGAATCCTCTGATTCCATAAACGGGAATGAATATTCTCATCAGTTGTGCATTTACCTTTTTCTCCGGATTTGGCCATACGCAGACGCATAACAAACAAGACAGACTGGAACCTGGCTATGCATTAGATACCTTTAAACAATTTAAGTCTGCGGGACCAGATGGAATTGTACCGGTGCTTTTGCAGCAAGGGGCAGAACACGTAGACCCACACCTATGCCGCATGTTTAGAGCCTGCATAGCATACGGATTTATCCCTATGACCTTGAAGCGAGTTAAAGTAACATTTATTCCTAAGCCTGGGAAACTTTATACCGAGGTTAAGACTTATCGTCCTATTAGCCTGTCATCTTTCCTTTTGAAAATGTTGGAGAAACTAGTGGATAGACATATTAGGGACGGTGCACTGAAGAACTATCCTTTACACTGAAACCTATATGTTTACCAAACAGGTAAACCTACTGAAACAGCACTGCATATGTGTTAACACATATAGAAAATGCTACTGAACACACGGATATTGCCCTTGGAGCATTCCTTGACATAGAGGGAGCTTTTGATAGAACCTCATTTGATACAATACGACAGGCTGCTGAAAGGCATGATACTGAGCCCACAATATGCAGATGGATCTGTGCTATGCTGGAAAGCACGAATATAAATGCTACATTGTCAGGAGAGTCCCTGGGGGTGACTACAGCCAGACAGTGCCCCCAGGGAGGTGTGCTGTCGCTTCTGCTGTGGAGCCTGGTCGTGGATGATGTTTGGAGGCTCAACAGCAATGGCTATTACACAGTAGGATATGCTGATGTCACAGAAATCCTAATTAGTGGGAAATTCCCTCTAACTGTGTCAGAGGTCATACAAACAGCCCTGGGCACAGTCCAATAATTGTGTGAAAAGAATGAAGGTGTCTATCAACCCATGTAAGATCATAGTCATACTCTTCACCAGGAAGAGGACCATAAAGGGGCTTAAAGAACCGATCCTCTTAAAAAAATGATCCAGCTATCCAGTGAAGTCAAGTGCCTTGGAATAACATTATACAAAGAACTAACAATTTAAAAAACAGCTGGACGGGGCTATTACTAAGGCCTATAAGGCCTTCTGAACATGGAGAGGCATGTTTGGAAAGACTTGGGGACTGAAGCCAAAGGTGGTATATTGGATATACAATGCGGTACTAGGACCCATAATTACTTATGCTAGCACTATATGGTGGCTAGCCCAGAGTTAAACTCAAAAATGTCAGGCAGAACTTGGCAAGCTGCAAAGGATGACCTGCTTGGGAATCACAGGGGCAATAAGAACAGCTGCAATGGAAGTTCTTCGACTTGCAGGTCGAAGCGGAGGCCAAGATTGGAAACTATAAACTTTGTTGCAACAAACAATGGAAACCAAAATTTGAAGCTTTTGGACATGGAAAAAGAGCCCACCCTACAGATGGGGTTTGATAAAATGATACCGAGACATGTCTATGATAAACCCTTCATGATCAGATTCCCTGATAGAAGTGAAATGGAAGAAAGGGTTTCAGCCCGATAGAAAGGGGGGACTAACTTGGTATACAGATGGTTTCAAGACACACACACACACAAAAAAAAAAGGCATCGGAGCTCAGGTGTATTGCCATGGCACAAGGAGGAAACTTAGTTCTAGCCTTGAGCAGTACACTACAGTATTCCAGGCAGCAGTATATGACATCAAGGCATGTGCAGTCGAGAATCTACATATGAATTATAAGAATAGGGACATCTATATTCATCAGATAGTCAAGCTGCAATCAAAGCACTAGGCAAACACCAGATCACCTCAAAACTGGTCTGGGACTGCCACCAATCCCTCATACAACTGGCCAGACATAACAGAGTTCAACTAATATGGGTACCAGGTCATGAGGGCACTGCTGGCAAAGAAACGGCACATCTACTGGCAAGAACAGGATCTGAACATCCGTTCACAGGACATGAACCAGCCTGCAACATCTCAGTTGGAGTTGCCAAGAAAGTGACCAGGAACTGGATGAACAGAAACCACACAAAACAATGAGAATCCAAAACTGGACTCAAACAGGCAAAGGGACTTATACCACGGTCCTTAGCCAAAATAACGAAGGATCTGTTGGAATTAAACAGAGACCAATTAAGATGGATGGTAAGACTGTTCACAGGTCACTGCCACCTAAAAGGACATCTGTTCACACTGGGACTGATAAGACGATCCCACTTGTGAAAAGACCCTGAAAGAAGATGAATCAGCTACACATATTCTATGCAACTGTGAAGCCATACCTCATTTAAGATTTTGTCACTTGGGCCAGTTCTTTATGGAACCAAGTGACTACTATGACACCCCCACAAATAAAGTCCTCAATTTAATTCAAAGTGTAGGATTAAAAGGGAGTTAAAGGGGAAACACAACAGATTGCTGGTTACGGTGCAGGGGCTGGATTGTGGCCCACCCTCCCTTTCTCTCGTATGCACGCATACCTTCTTCTCAAGGAACATTCTGTTCTACGGAAGGATACAGGGAGTTAACTAACTGGCCACATATTAAATAGGTTCAAGAATGTATGCTAGCTGTTTGTAATTTTAAATGCCTATGATTAAAAATGTCTTATTGGGTCAAGGCAGGGCAAATTCTAATTTTGTGTGTGTGCCCATCTACAACACAAAGTGTAATTCCAAGGGACACTTACTAGAAGTGCAGCATTGGCTGATTCAAGCTCCCCAATTTTGCTGTTATATGCATCGAGACGGGAACGTGCTTGCCGCAGTTCATCTACAGCTATGGAAGCAGCACCACTGTTTCTCTGTGCCTGGCTGGTAAGGTTCTTTATCTGATAAAATAAATAATAATATAATAACTACTGGTATGTACCAGCAACATTATCATTAACTAACAGCATCTCATACTGTGCTCAATTAGGACACAATGAATTACTTTCTATGAGTGAAATCCAAAACTTATCTGACTGATACCACTGTTTAATCTTATGACAATTCTAACAGACGTTATTAACATGGTCAGACTCGGCTGGAAATTCAGCACACATCATCTCTATGTACACATTTTACCAGAGGAAACTTACTGTTACCATAATTCTTACACACCTGGAAATTTTGATATTTCAGCATAACTTTGTTGCCTAAACTTTTATCTCCTGACACTATGCTGTGGAGCAAGTACAGCATAAAGCTAAACAAATTTCCAACAGAGAATATAAGAATAAGAAAACAGCATTGAAATGTTATGCATCTGAGTCTCAATATAAACATAGCATCAGTATAACATTACAGACCAATAAAAAATACAGGAAATATTACATTCAGTTAAAAGGTTCATGTTACCAGCACAACAACATAACAAAACCAAATTACATTACAAATAAAATTCTGTATGCATGGGCATACAAAAATTACCCTTTCACCACATGGCTGTTTTGGCAGAACAGTGAAATTAAATCACGACCCACTGGGCAACAAGTCTCATGACTTACATCAAATTTGAAATTTCCAGACAGAAAAAATTCAGAAAATTCAACTATAAAATTATGCGCAGTATTGACTAACATTACTAAACAGCACATGCTGCATTAATCAGCAGCAAACTCATCATGTTCCCTTTAATAACTTCAAATCTCACATTAGCTTTCCTCAACATTTAATATTTATGTCTGAATATTTCGCCTAATTTCATATTTACTACTATACATCCAAAAACATGCCATAACAGAATTTCACCTACCTTGTTTTCATACAGCAATTCAATTTCTTCTCTATTAGCTCTCATTTGTGCCTCATATTGATCTCTCAGTTCCTGAAGAGACTGCTGCAACTTCGCCTCATACTGTTCTGTGAGACGTCCATCAATTTCACTAATTTCCACCTGACGTCGCGTGCGAGTTTCAGTCAGCTCCTGGTTGTACACCTGTTCCTTGAAACTCAATTCTTCCCGGAGACTTTGCAAGTTGTTCTCTAAGTCTATTCTTGCAAGGGTCTCGTCTTCCAAATGCTTACGCAACTCTTCCACTTGCTTGCGCAATTTCTCACACTCTTTCTCCAGATCTTTCAAGTCATCAGTACTTTTCTTGCGGTCTGCTACTGCCTGGTTATACTTGGCACTCAGGTCTGACACCCGCGACTCATACAGGGACAGACTCTTCTCTGCAATCCCCAGATCCTTCGTCTTTTTGTCCAATCTGTAACATACACCATTGGTATGGAATGTAACTTTAAAGATATAAACAGAAGGCACTGAACTAGGTGATGTTCAACATGAAGATCTATTCTGTAAGTGCCCTTATTCCTTTGGAGCCTGATATCCATCTAAATTACAGTTTCCACATTGCAGAAAACACACTGCACCTATATTGCAATGACCTATAATTTAATGCTACAGTATTACAAGGCATAATCACAGTTTATTTTGAGAATCATACTAATACCGCTGAAGTGTTGTGAACTAGTCAACAGCATCTAAGGATAGGCTCCACAGGTGTGCTGTTATGATTTCGGATTTCATTATAAAACTTATTAATCAGGTGAATAACTATAAACTGACCGCTTAAAAACACTGCACCATGGAATCAGTTGTACAATTAAACCTGCTACAAGTAGGCCTAATCTTTGATGAGTGTCTCTGAATAGAACACACAAATTCTTTCATGTAAATAAATATACAAGACTTGACTCCAAGTACTCTTCAGCATGTTGGTGCTAATGTAATTTATTGAAAGATAAAATACATGNCAAAAAACAACATTCCAGTGATGGAACATCCACCGTATTCTCCGGACCTAGCACCGTGCGACTTTTTTCTCTTCCCAAAAATCAAGTCTGCGCTGAAAGGGACCAGGTTCGAGTCCGTGGATGCAGTGAAAGCAAAAGCGACGCAACTCTTGAAGAGCATAACACAAGATGACCTGCAGCACTGCTTCCAACAGTGGAAAATTCGCATGGAGCGGTGTAGGGATCGGGGAGGGGACTACATTGAAGGGGATAACATTTCGACTGTCTGATTTTTTTTTAATAAAGGGTTAGAGCATGAATCCGGTTTCTTTATTGCCACACCTTGTACAGCACATTTTCCAAAGAGTACATTTATAGAGAAGTAAAGTTTCAATAGATAATTCCTTTCAAATGACAGAAAAAAATAAAAACAGCATACAATGAGATTTCAAACAGGAGTATGAGGAAGAAGTGTAAAAATTAATATTGGAATGTTCCCAGACTAGCTCAAAAAAGAAATGCTGGCTTCATTTACTCAATTTTGGTTGACATCTCTTTCAAAACAGTCTCCTTGGGAACATATACAGTGATCCCATCGTTTTTTTCCATGCTTCCGAAGCACAACGGAAGTCATTTTCCTTAATGCTGTCAAGTGTCGCTTGTGATTCCCTTTGGATGTCAGATACTGTATCCAAATGACGTCCCTTCAGTTTTATTTTTAATTTGGGGAACAAAGCATAATCACAGGGGGCTAAGTGTGGTGAGTAGCGAGGATGGGGAATGATAACCATGTTGTCGTCAGTCACAAACTCTGTGGTTTTCAGGGACGTGTGGGTGGGAACATTGTCGTGATGGAGTAATGTGGCATATGTTCAAATTTTCTGTTAAGATCACCAGACAAACTCCATAACTGTTTCCCATGGTGTCTGTGAGTTGATGACTTGTTCACTGACAGTCTTCATGGATGAGATCTCATATTTTTTCAACATTTTCTGTCATTTTGCTGGTGCTTGGTCCCCCTGAATGTTCATCATCTTCAACTGACACTCAACCAGCCTTAAAACATTAATGACATTCAAAGACTGCTGTCCAGCTTAAAATATTTCTTCAAAAGCCTCATGAAGCATTTCAGGGGTTTCAGTAGATTTACAGAGCTTCTAGTGAAACTTGATGCAGATGCGCTGCTTGATTTTGCCATCCATCGTAGACAAAACGAAACACGAAGTCGAAAAAGCACTTGTGGAAAAATAATGCGTGTTCACAGTGTGGTGTCACGTGGTAGACTGATGCAATAGGCTTTCAGAAGTGTGATCTTGGCCTCTGCTCTCACCTTCTTTCACACAGGCAGTGACAACATTAACAGTCTGGGAACTTTCCGATACCACCTCATACCTTTCACTCATAACCAATATGGATAATAGACCCTACAATATTTTGGGGGAGTCTTGATTTTGAATTAATCGATTTGGAATTTCAAATATTACCTTTGGGAAGGGCATATTAAAATAAGAAACACTGCGACAGACTAATCAATTATCATGTTCTGTCTAATGCAACATGGATGTTTAACATTCAATTTGTTTTATTGAAATTGAATGTTATACATTCTCTGTGTTGCATTAGATGAACATGATAATTGATTAGTTTGATCATGCAACAGGATGCATTCCATAGAGACTGACAGACTACCTTACACTTTCAAGGTGGTCATGAGGAACAATGCAGAAAGAGTAATTAAAACTTACTTTAGATAAGCTCAATCTATTTCACAATGCTTTATTCATTCATTCACAGTGTGATAACAGAGGCCGAGCAGACTGAGAGGCAAGTGAAATCTACTTATCGCAAGACCCAACAGATACCATACAAATACCAATATAACACACACCAAGAATTTAATGGGAAGTAATCATTTTCTGTACAAGTTTCCATACTACTAACTTCAAATGTGTTCACCCAGTCTCCTCTCCAGTCCCATATGTTATCAACTGATACACCAAAGTTCACACAATACAGTGTTTCCCATAAATAACATGACCCCCACCCCACAAAGAATCAATCATAAACTGTTTCCTTTACATAGTATACTATACTTAACAGACTTACAGCACAGACAAAACATACTCAAACAAAAGATTTCTCATTCATTCATGACCTACAACATAAATCATATTAACGCAATGTATTAATGCTCAAATAGTGAAGCCATTGCAAACTCCATGAAGATGAGCACTTCTTGGGAAGCCGCAAATTGTGCAGCTGCTCAAGAACTTCCCAACATTTCACGGAACCTGAAGGTGCATTACGGTGTTCACAAGAGCCCTCCCAACTGGTCCCTATCCTCAGCCACATCATTCGAGTCAATATCACTCCATCCTATTACTCTATGATCCATTTTAATATTATCCAACCACCTATGTCTTGGTCATCCTAGTGGTCTCTTTCCTTTTAGCTTCCCAACCAAAATCCTAAATGTATCAATCTTCTCATTTATGCTACATGCCCTGCCCATACCATCCTCCCTCACTTGATCAGTCTAATTATATTCAACAGAGTACAAGTTATGAAGCTCCTCATTATGCAGCTTTCTCCAACCTCCTGTCACATCTTCACTCTTCAGTCCAAATATTCTCCTCAGCACCCTGTTCACAAACATCAACAGTCTGTTGTTCCCTTAATGTCAGAGACCAAGTTTCACACCCACAGAGACCCACAGGCAAAATTATATTATATTACATTACATTGCATTCCCTTGATACGAAGTTAGTCAAAATGACTGTAGGATGTCGAATATGTCACATAAGTACAAAAACATATGTACAGTACAACTGAAGTTTTCACATAGGAAACCCAAGAAAACACAGTGGATACACACAAGGCTATTAAAAAACACAACAATCCTGTGAATTTCTGCTAATTACACAGCCTTTAGATGGACGTGTCATTTTTTTAACAATAAATATTCATCAACAAAGAAGAATGAGCGCGTGTTAAGTATTGTTTTAGTGATATTTTAAATTGTGTTTTTTCATTCACAAGATTTTCGAGATCTGATGGCAGATTATTGAGAATTTTGAGCCAAGCATATGTGCTATTCTAAAATCATGAGAGGTTAGCAGATGGTTTATTAAGACAGTGCTTGTGTTAACATTGTGTACATCTGCAGTGATCTGAAAATGCTCTTCTTCATATGCAATGAAGATTATTAATGAAAATATATATTTACATGGAAGAGTTATGATCTCTTCTAGAATTACAGGATCTGAAACTCATCATGATTCTAACAATTCTTTTGCAATATACCGTATTTACGCATGTATAGGCCGCGTGCGTGTATAGGCCGCAGCACAATTTTCAGACAGAAATTATAGAAAAAATAATTTTCTTGGAATATTATTTCAGGAGTAGAAATTATTCCGAAATTTGGCAACGTTAATTTTTTTTAAATGAAGTGTGATTTTGAATATTTCGAATATAAGCCGCACCCCAGTTTTCCTCTTGAATTTTTGGCAAAAAATGTGCGGCCTATACATGCGTAAATATGGTAAATACCTTCTTGTTATCATATGAATTACCCCAGATTATTCAATACTTCATTTAAGAATGAAAGCAAGCAAAATAAACTGATTTGTGTGTCAACATTGCTGATATGCAACACAGATCTCACTGCATAACATACATACTTTCAAATCAAGTGACCGATATAGTTCTTCCACTTTAAATGATTACCAATATGTAAGCCAAGGAATTTTGAGCTTATTGCCTCTTCTTTACATTTAATGTTATATCTAATGTTTAATGGATATTGTGGTGAGTTTCTTTTTTGTTATAAATTTTATTAATTTGCTTTACCTAAATTCAGGGACAGCTTGTTTGCAGACAACCATTTACTCATTTGATAGTATGCAGAATATCATCTAAATTTTAGCAGAAATTATGACACTCCATGACCTATAGTCCAAAAGCGAACTATACCGACCGCCGCTTGTAGGCGAATTAGTGCCAACTTTTGCAGATAGAGAGTGTCACGTGGGCAGTGCAACAGGTCCCCACTGCCATTAATCTCAGTTTTCTAGACCAGAGTCACTATTTCCTTGAAATAGCTTCTCAATTATCCTCATGCGGTAGAAAGGACCCTGTTCCAGACAGGGGGAATCGAACCCGGGACCTCTGGATCTGTAGCCAGAAACTCTGACCACTAGACCACAGAGGCGGTCAAAATTATTACACTAGTGTCACAAATATTATGGGTATTGATGAGTTGTTTATGTAGGAGGTGAAGGCAGGTAATTTATATGAATTATGAAAAACAAAGGGCCTAAAATTGACCCTTGTGGAACTTCATGCCTTGTTGTTCCTCAGTTTAAGTATGTACTTTGGATAAATTTGATAACTTTAGTTAAATCTTTTGTTTTCTCTGTTAGGTACGATCTGAACCAACCTGCTCTTGCTCCTTGAATGCCAAAGGATG